GGGAAGGAGGGAGGGAGGGAGGGAAGGAGAGAAGGAGGGAGGGAGGGAGGGAGGGAGGGAGAAAGGAGAGAGAAAGCAGGTAGAGAGAGAGAGAGGGAGGAGGGGAGGGAAGGAGGAAGGAAGGAAGGAAGGAAGGAAGGAAGGAAGGAAGGAAGGAAGGAAGGAAGGAAGGAAACAAAAAAACAAAGAAACAAAGGAAGAATGAAAGCAGGCAAGCAGGCCATCAGACCCCAAGCCAAGCCAAGAAATGAGAATTTGAATTGTAGCACTGTTCAGACTCCAGAAGGAAGCACAAAGAGCTGGTGGCTGAACCTGGGGCAATGAGAGAGAACCCACTATGATCTCATCTCTTTTCTCTGAGCCAAACTTTGGTGATATAGGAAAAAAAATGAAAAAATAACAGCCACAGAAATGGTGGCAGTGGTTCCCTAACTGTGACCCTCCCAGTTCCACATCTGAAAGGAGGGCTGTCCACCCGTCCTGGAAGCATCATAATCACTGTTTTTATTTCGTTATTTTCTTTTACACTCATGCACATCACACTGTCAATAGAAACAGTGCTCATCGAGTGTTTTTCCTCAGCATCCCTCTGGTTGCCACGGGCCCATTTCACAGAGAAGAGAAGTGACTTTTCCAAGGTCTCCTAGCCTGTAGCCCGTCCCCACCGAAGCTTGTCTATTGTCATCTGTCCAGGGATCTTCCAGGTTCAAGATGAGTCCATCTAGAATACATGCAGAGCAGAGCCTGGGAGACCTCACTCACCCCTGATCCTTGTTCCTCTCACTCTCATCCTTGGGCCCATCTTCCGGGCCCCAGTGAGGGCTGGCTGCCATGATACAATGTAGGACCAGGTGGGCACCAGTTTAATAAGAGCCTCAAATAAGTCCCTTGCTTCTGACAAAACAAGCCATCTGCAGCAAAGCGCTCCCAGACACAGCTCCCTTCCTCAAGTGTGTGCAGTGGTGATTCTGGCTGCGTAATCGCTATGGCAATAAAAGAGAGAATCACTGGGTTTAATGGCTATATGCAGCAGCTAGGACATCTGGTAATATGAGGTAAAACAAGCCCTTCTGGCATTCCAGAGGTGCTTCTGGGAGCCCAGTCCTCTGGCACCCCTTAACCCAGTTAGTAAAATTAATATAAGAAACAAAAAGTAACTGTTGTCCATTATTATTTTATTCTAAAAGAAAAAAAAACTTTTCTTCATGCTGTTTTTAATCCAAAAGAAAGCATTTTACAATAGGACCAGGGTCTTTATCCTGAAACCCCAGGTGAGTTTGAGGCCCTCTGATGAGAGTTATGGATAGCAATTAGTGAGGTGGGGTCTGTCTGAATCACCCACCAAGCATCCATAGTGACAGTAGCAAGCTGATCTCAAAGCTCCAGGGCTATTTGGAGATGTTCTGTGAAGACAAGATGCCTCTGGACTTCCATCGGCCTCAGCTCTCTCATCTTTAAAATTAAAAGGTCGATGGTTCCTCTCACTGTTCCTGACCTTGCAGGGCCTGACAAGACATGACACTGGCAGAAATGTCTTCAGTCAGCGGAAGGCTGGACTCTGGAAGTGGCTGTTATGAATGTAAAGCCCCAGGTGCTCCCAGAGTTTAGATTCATCACCCCACTGTACAGAGGTAGAAACAGACTAGGAGAGGCAAAGCCACCTGGCTGATTGGTGTCGAGACAAGATTCTCAGGAATCTCTCACAGTGCCACCACAAGCCACCTGCCCTGAGCTCAGAGGAGTCTTGGCAGAGGAAACAGCAGCATTGAAACATTCACACTCCAATGCAAATCGCCTTGACAGTCACCTCCCTCTCAGAGCCTCAGTTTCTCCTCTATAGATAGGAGCCTGACAGGAGTATCCTTCTCAGAAGAGACTGGGATAAACACTCTAGCAGTGTTTCTTGACCTGTCGATCATGTGACCCCTTTTAGGTGTCGCATATCAGATATTTGTATCATGATTTGTAACAGTAGCAACATCACAGTTGTGAAGTAGTGAGGAGACAAAGGGTTATAGTATTAGAAAGGTTGAGAACCACTGCATTGCATGAAGGCATGGAGACCATGTAAACCTAGAGCCTGCCTGGTAACCTTGGCAGTAGATGCCATGGGTAGACAGCCTTCTCCCACCCCTTCTGAGGGACCAAAGCTATAGGAAATGTCAGTGGATGACGCAGGCCTAGTAGACAGGAAGGTACAGCTGAAAGCAGGTGCCTCAGGCAAGAAGAAGCAGCATTCATGCATGCCCGCAGTGGCCCAGGCTGGGGCCGGGGTTCCCAGGCAGCATTGATGGCAGGTAGAAACCCTCACACCCAGCCCTTCCCCTGCACTGGGCAGCACTGGGCCCTGGTATGACCAGTAGCACTCAGTATAGGCCCTGGCTCTTGCTAGCCTGTCTGTGAAGCTGAGCTGCTGCTTAAGGACTCCTTCCTCCCAAGACCAAGCCATTCCCCACAGACCTTCAGTGACCATTTCTGGGGACCTCTTACTCACCCTATGCCCTGTACACTCTACAGGATGTTAGGCAGGGGTGTCCTTGGTGTCTAGCATCATATCCTTTAGAAGAATAGTCTGCCTCACCCAGCCCAAAACAAGGGACAAAGGGACATGTTGACCTCCATTCCTCTCCATTCTAGGAAATTGATCTCTCTCTCTCTCTCTCTCTCTCTCTCTCTCTCTCTCTCTCTCTCTCTCTCTCTCTCTCTTTCTCTCTCTCTCTCTCTAATAAAAGTGATGTAGCTAAAAGGTGAGCCAGCAGGATCATGAGTTCCAGGCCAGCCTAAGACACTTAGCAAGACCTTGTCTCAAAAACAAAACATAAAGGGGCTGGGGTTATAGCACAGTGGTGGAGCATCTGCCTAGTATATACAATGCCTAGATTCCAATCCTATTTCTGCAAAGGGATGGGAGGGGGAAAAGGAAGAGAGGGAGGGAGGGAGGAAGGAAAGACTGAACATTTCCCTTTTCCTCCTTTCATCCATAAGCATCATGCCAGGCTCAGTTTGGGAGTCTGGGAGCCTCCCTCAGATTTCGGTGTGCACTCTGGTTCCTTTTACTTTCCAGCTCATTCTTTTCATTATAAAACACTGCAGGCCAAGGTTATTCCAACAGAAACGCCCCCACAACCAGCCCCAAAGAGAACCAAGAGCCCTTCCACCCCCACAACCTCTGTGGCTAACACGATGGCCAGGCTGGCCTTCATTCCAGATCTCCTCAGCATCCCTGAGCACCTTAGCCCTTCCTGTCTGTGACATGAGTGTCTGTGGTCTGTTGCGTCCTCGTGATGACCCGTGCTGCCTGTTGTTTGTTGAAATTCTCTGTTGTGTAGGTAAAATGCAGGATGGCAGTGCTGACGGCAGCCAGAGCAAAGGTAACTGCAGCCATGGGGCTAGAGTCACACAGAGATAGGGATGTACTGGGGCCAGAGGCAGACACACACACCTGTGGGGAGCTCTGGCATCTCTTGGGGTATAGTCATGATTCTCATTATACTGGGTAAGATAAAGAGGTGTCATAGTGAGGTAGAGGATATACCAGGGTTAAGATCTCCCAAGCCTACCTATCAGCTTGGATCTGGAAGTTGGCTCTTAGAGACTACTACAGGTGGAGGGTGGGCTGGCCTCTGCTCAAAAGAGCCGTAGGTCCTTCTGTCCATCCCATAATGACAAGGATCCCTTGACTGGAGATGGGGACTTGACACTTGTGCCTGGGACACCGTACTTACTTTTTAAGCCATGCTGTGTGTCCTTACTATGGCTAACTCCCTAGCAACCCAACAACTTGGCCTCAAGGATACCCAGGGGAGCCCTTCTCTTTCTGTCTGATTGTGAGAGAGTCAAGGGTCTATTTAGGGTGGAGTCTTGGTTCAGCCCTGTCCTGCTGGGAATCTCAAATGTATCTCTGATCCCAGGTGCTACTGGGACCCAGACACTGCAGCTGGAAGGGGCAGGTCCTAGCTGAGGCTTCTTTGCCAGCCATGCAGGGCCCAGATGGGGCAATCAGCATTTCTACTGGGCAGGCAGGGTGGGTGCTAAGCATCCTGGCCTATAGGCTAACCTGCATGTGTGTGTCTATGTGCATATGCATGCTCTGCCCCTACAGCCAAGCAGCAGGACGGGGCAGCTGCTATGGAGATGCAGCCTCTGAAGAGCGCGGAGGGCGGTGATGCAGATGACAAGAAGAAAGCCAACATGCACAAGAAAGAGAAGTCGGTGCTTCAGGGCAAGCTCACCAAGCTGGCTGTGCAGATAGGCAAGGCGGGTGAGTTCACAGCAGGGACCTCCCTTCCGACGACCACTGCCCCATTCTGTCCTGTCTTGATTCCAATGGTCCTGGGGGCCTGCCCTGCTCTGGATATATGAAGCCCCTCTCTGCAAACAGACTGCCACAGCTCTGAGGATTTGGGCTGGCAGCTTTCCCCCACCTCCGAGTCCCTGCCTACTCCTCTGTAAATGGGGATAAGTTTTTGTTACAGGAAGGCAGGTTGCTTTGAGAATTAAAGATGACTGTGTAGACAGGGGACCTAGCCTGTGGCTTATATAGTGGCAGACATCATACCCTGTATGGCCTATAGTTCCAGATGGCAGACTTTATCCTGAGGACAGCAGGGAAATATGGAAGAGATAACAGCAAGAGAGAGCCAGAATGGATTTGGACTTGATAATGCCCACCCTAGCTATAGTGCAGAAGGACTGAAGGGGCTGGGGGCAGCGCCAGGAGCCCATGCAGGACTTATCTGAGCTCTAGCGAGCAACCCAGGCTTCCCAACTGAGATGTTAGCTGCAGGTGATAGCTGTGGCAGTCTCCTGGCCCAGGGAACCAAGCCCAGCTGCAAGGTGAGCCCCAGACCTGCCACACAGCCTTGACCTCCCCTTGCACTGAGGATGTATGAAAGGCAAGACCTCCCACCTGGCTACTGAGGCCTCTGTAGCTGTCTCCATTTCTAATTAAAGACAGCACAGCAGGGGACAGCTGCAAATTATAGGCTCAACGGTCTATATTTAAACCTGGTGACAGCTCTCTCTGAGCTGGCTTCCCGCCCCTGCGGCTGTCAGGCAGGGATAGAGCCAGGCTCTGAAGCTCCGCAGCTGGAGCTGGGGTGGGGAGATGTGAGCCAGGGATTTCCCCCTTCCCTGCTGTTGCTGTCAGAGGCAAGCGATTCCACAGTAGCGGGTGGCACTAAGGAACCAAGAAACTAAGTGATGACAATCTCTTGGCCTCTAAGGACCTCCGTCCCCGATCCACCCTGCCAGGGATAAAGTTCACAGGCATCCTGGGCTCTGGGCTGAATGCCTGGTGGCCAGGGATTTATAGATGGGCAACTCCAAGCCGAGTCTACTAAGCAAGAAATGCAGATCAGAGATGGTGGAAAGCCAGAGTTTTGTAAATCGTGGAGAATTCCTAGTCTTTGCTTCATCTCATGGGACCTCTAGACCACAAGCGACAAGACAGGACACATCCACCATGCAGTTACCTGAGCCTTGAGACCCCATACATCAGCCAAGGGATCATGGGTATCTTTTTGGGAAGGTTTTACCCATGGACCCTTACCATTACCCCTCCTCCATCAGAGAAAGCTGGTAGGCACGGCCCCCGGAATACCTTTGTGGGCAACTGAGGCAGGTCAGAGTTAGGCAGGTAATGTTGATCTACAGCATTACCCTAGCCAGTCATTTCCCTAGCTGAGCCCCTGTTCCCTCATCCAAAAAAAATCTGTTCTCTCCAACTGGGACACTCTCCCCAAGAACAACACATATGCTTGATGTCTTTTCGCATATCACCTCCTCTAAGACGGCACCCTGGTCATGCTAGCTACAGCAGCCACATCTTCAGCCACGACTTCCTGGCATTTTGTCCTCACAGCATCAATCCGTGTCTATAATGGTGGCACATACACACTGTCTTTGTGGTTGCCAGATCTCTGTGTCCTAGATGAAGCACCACGCACCTGCCGTATCACAGGTGCCCGGAGGTGCTTGTTGAGTGAATGAGTAAAAGATTCCACCTTTCCTCTTTACAGTGTAGCAGCTGTAGAGAGCTCTTGATGTACGGATATGTTCCCTAGCCACATGTTTTTAGTGTGGCTGAGTGTCACGTGGGCAGGCAACCATGCTAGGTACTTTACCTGCATTTCCACATGAGCATTACAAAACCCCAGGAGGGAAATCTGCCCCCTATGCCTCATTGTACAGAAGAGGCAACTGAGGCTCCCTGAGAATCAAAGCAAGGCTCCCGGCCACAGAGGAAGAACAGCTAGCAGATGAGCAGAGGTCTTCCCAAGAGGCCTCCAGAAGCGGCTTAGTGAACATCTCACCCCCCCCCCACCCTCTGGAAGCCCTCTGAGCAGGTGTCTCCATGTCCCCATGTCACAGGCCTGGTAATGTCAGCCATCACAGTGATCATCTTGGTGCTCTACTTCACCGTGGACACCTTCGTGGTCAACAAGAAGCCGTGGCTGACCGAGTGCACACCTGTCTACGTACAGTACTTTGTCAAGTTCTTCATCATTGGTGTGACGGTGCTGGTGGTTGCTGTGCCCGAGGGCCTCCCTCTGGCTGTCACCATCTCACTGGCCTATTCCGTGAAGGTAAGAGAAGATGCAGTGTTGGGCACCTGAAGCAATCCCAGCTGGGGCTGTCAGGGAGCCAGGGAGGGCGTGGTGCTAGTAATTGAAGATGGGCTACAAATAGTGTGTGACTGCAACTTGGACTTGGAGAGAGTGTGTGAGCAAGTCCCCCCAGATTCAGACACCTTCAGAAGGATAATGCAAACCAAGAGCGAGGCCCTGGCCACACAGGAGCCCTCATTATTCAAGCTCAGCAAAGCATGGCTTTATGGGGATGCAACTTTGGCTGACCAGACCTTCAGAATTTTTCTCAAAAAGAAGCCAAAAATCTATACCTAATATAAACTGTCTAGATCCGTATTGACAACTCAGACTTACAAAATAAAGTGGGACTGGGATATGGCTCGGTGATAGATCACTTAACTGGCAAGCCCGAGGCTACAATACTGCAGACTGTCAAAGGTAGACATCAGTGTGCAAGCCATCACAACCCTACCCACCAAACTCAACATGCCCTAGGGCATGAGCAAAACCACACAGGAAGCTGCTACACTTCAGACAGGGGTTGTTGAAAACAGGAGGAGATTTACCAGCTGTTAAATGATGTACCACCTGGATGTTTGCTGGCCAGGTGGGACTCTAGGACCTTCCCTAAGCACCCGTGTAACCTGGCCATCAGAGAGCCTACATACTACAAATCTGGCCCAGGGTACCACTACCAGATTGTCCTACCTACTCGTGTTCTTCCTCTTCCTTGGGGTTTCCCATCCTTCTTACCCAGGGTCCCAACATCAAGCTGTCACTAAGAAGGCTTTCACTCTGAGACATTGGCAACTCAGCCAGAGGGTAAGGCGAGTGTTGGTTTCCCTGCCAGAACTTGGACTGCACCCTGTGGTGTAATTTCATATAGAGTCATCTCCCACAAGGGCAGCAAGTGGCAGTTCTGTGTAAGGGATGCAGTGTTTATCAGCCCCTCCTCTTACAGTTCTCAAAGAAACCCCCTCCCACAAACCAAAGCCCAAGCAGGTTATAACACAGTGTTCCTCAAGGGCCCAGGCTCTGCCTGCCAAAGATAACTCTTACATGACCATGATCAGGTCCCCATTGCCACACCACTGAGCTCAGAGTCTCTGTGAAGCTCAGCAAAGCTGTTTTGGGGACATCATGAACCAACAGTTTTAAGCCTGAGCATCTTCTGAAGTTTTTATCTCCAGTTTGGTCATCTCGAGTCATGTGACTGGCAAAACCACATGAGCACAGTAGTGAGCACGTAGGTACATCAGTTCCTCCCAAGAGGAATACCACACAATCCAGACATGTCATTTTAAATGCCCCAATAACTGACTTTTAAAAAATAGAGCCAGAGAACTGTCTCCATGTGTAAAGTGCTTGCCGTGTGAGTGTGAAAACCCAAGGTCAGATCCCAGCACCCACATAAAGGTCAGGCCTGGACACATGTACCTGTCACCCCAGTGCTGTGACCCCAGTTCAGGAGGGACCCACATGCAGATCCTGAAAGCTGGCCAGCCAATCTAGCTGACATGCCAATGTCTAGGTTCAGTGAGAAACCATGTCTCAAAAAACAAGGCAGAGAAGACACCTGATATCAATCTTTAGGCTCCACTTGCACCCGTATGGGCAGGTATATTGTACATATGAGTGGACTAGAAAATGTGACTAGGGGTATAGCTCAGTGGTAGGAAAGATTCCCCAGCATGCAGGTGACTCTGGATTTGATCCCCAGTACCACATAAACCGGGCATGGAACTACACAACCTGTGATCCCAATACTTGTGAACTGGGGCAGGAAAATTAGAAGTCCAAGGTCATCTTGAACACAGCAAGTTCAAGATCAGCCTGAAATACTTGAGACCTTGTCTCAAAAACAGGTAACATTAATCTTAATTATACAAATTTAACTCAAACTTACATCCAAGTTATCAACAATCCAACACATAACCAACACAAGAAATGTTACCTTTGGTTACCTGTTTGATGATGTCTTTAAAATCTAGCATCTCTCACACACTTTGGACCAGACTTTAAGTGTCCCTCATCCCCAGCAGCTACCATTGTTAGACTTCGGTGAGCATCTTGGAACAGACAACACCAGACCAAACGATTCCAAAGGGGAGGGGGCTTATTCAAGGCAGAGGGCATAGGTAGGGAGAGAAATGGGAGAAGATGGTGGAGAAAGAGGAGAGAGAGAGGAGAGAAGAGGAGGCCGGCTATGACCACATGGAGAGAGGGGGAAGGGAAGGGAGGAAGGGCGAGGAGAAGCTAGAGGCAAGAGAGTAAGAGAGTAAGAGGGAGAGGAGGAGGCAAGCAGCCCCTTTTATAGTGGGCAAGCCTACCTGGCTGTTGCCAGGTAACTGTGGGGAGGAGCATACCTGCGTGTTGCCAGATAACTGTGGAGGTGGAGTTTAGACAGAATACTAACAACCATGCCAGACAGTCCTGAGGAGAGATTTTTTATGCGTTTTGATTTGAATTTTGTTTTGTTTGTCATAGAGGTTCACTGTGCAGCCCAGGCTGGCCTTGAACTTAACAACAATCCTCCTGCCTCTATCTCCCAAGTGCTGGAATGTGTCACCACACCTAGCTTCCAAAGAGATTCTTAAAGGGCCAATGCTCCTTCAGTAGGGCAGGTGGACTGGTGTGTGGAATGAGCCAGACTGCCAGGTTAGGCTGAGCTGGTAGGTTAGGTGGAGCTGGTAGGCTTGGTGAAGCTGGGCTCAAACTCGTCTTCATTCACCACACAGGTAATCTTGCTCAGTTCACTTTGCCTGGAATTTATCAATTGTAAAGTGGATTTCCAGGCTCCTCCCAGGTCTATAAGGATCTTGGGATTCTTATAGAACAATACCAGAAAATACACTGGAAAGCATGTTGCAAACACAGATTGCCATTGACCAGACACTCACTGTACACTTATTGGAGCTACTATGGAAAATTATATGAAAGGAAACACAATAGCCTTTTATCCTACCAGTATTCCATTTTAGTAACATAAGTATCTATTTAAATGGTCCAATTGTATTCTTTTAACCTTGTAATAGAGGGTTACTGCTGGCAGACAAGAATGAAGGAAACCAAATCCATAGGCGCAGACTCCACTTGATTTTGCCCTAGGAACAAATTCCTGTGACATGGGGTCAACACGTCAGCAAGGCCTGTCTGAGAATGATGTCATTTTCATTTTTTGAGGGAGAATCTAGGAGAAGTTAGGAGTATAGAACTGGGTCAGAAGAAAAGGTACATAGAAGGAAATAAATCCTAATTGGTCCAGTAGGATGGTACTACAAATTTAAAAAGAAAAAGATGTTGATAAGTGAGACGTGCATTTTCTCTTGTATTGTACGTGTAGTAATTTACATGCATCTTCTTTTGTATTACACTAGTGCATGCATGTGTGTGTGTGCATGCATGGATGCATGCATGTCACAGGGCACTTTGGGAGTCAGAGGATAACTTAGAGAGTCAGTTCTTGCCTTCCACCATCTGAGTCACAGCAAGTGACAATCTGCTGGGCCATCTGACTAGCCTTTAATTTTCCCTTTTCTCTCTCTCTGTCTCTCGTGTGTGTGTGTGTGTGTGTGTGTGTGTGTGTGTGTGTGTGTGTGTTAATTGGGGGTTACAGAGATGGTTCTGTGGGTAACAGTGTTCGATGTGTGTGAGCCCGAGGACCTGAGTTCAGACTCTCAGTGCCCATGTAAACAGCTGTGTGTGCATGTATCCCTACCCCGCCCCCACACTTAGAGCAGGCAAACTGGAAGGTGACTGGGGCTTCCTGACCAGACAGTCTAGCCAAAAACGCAGAGAGCTCCAGGTTCAGGGAGAGACTCTGTCTCAAGTAGGTAGAGCAGAGAGCCACACAGGAGGCTCCTTTGACTATCTCACACATACGCAGGTGACACTCACACACATAAACACACACACTCAAATTCACACACAAACATGGTTTTATTATGCACACTATAGTAAGTGTTCATCACAGAAATGGTGACTTGAAGAAGTCAATAAAAGTCTTCTCTATCACCTAGTGACAATGACATTATTATTTTCAGATTTTTACAGATATTTCCCTGTATCTATAAGCACATATCTATCCTAAATCTATCTACTTAGGGTGAAATTGGTGGACTTCTCAGCAAGCAGCAGGAAAGCCTTTGAGAAATTCAGAACCAAATGAGGAGAGGCTACTTACAGTAAGCTAGGAATAATTAGGGATAGCCCAGCTTTATTCTTTTACATCTTTTCTACTATTTTTCCCATAAAGAATGTAGATGAGGAGGCTGGAGAGATGGCTCAGAGGTTAAGAGCACTGGTTGCTCTCCCAGAAGGCTCAGCTTCAGCACCCCCACGGTAGTTTACAATTATCTGTAACTCCAGTCCCAGGGCCTCTGAGGCCCTCTTCTGACCTCTGTGGATATCAGGCACTTATGTGGTTCAGGTAAAACTTTCATACACAGCCGGGCAGTGGTGGCGCACCCCTTTGATCCCAGCACTTGGGAGGCAGAGGCAGGCGGATTTCTGAGTTTGAGGCCAGCCTGGTCTACAGAGTGAGTTCCAGGACAGCCAGGGCTACAAGAGAAACCCTGTCTCGAAAAACCTAAAAGAAAAAAGAAAAAAAAAAAAACAACTTTCATACACATAAACTAAATAAATCTTTTTTTTAATGGTTTTGTTTTTATAAATACAGATGAAGCCAGGTATGGTTGTGCACACCTGTAATGTCAGCACTTAGGAGACAGAGACAGGAGGATCATGAGTTCAAGGTTATCCTTGGCTGGATTGCTAGCCCCAGGTCAACCTGTGCAGCATGAGACCCTGTTCCCAAAATAGAAAATGAGTGACTTGTGTGGTGAAAATTAATAAATTCAGATATCAAAATTTAAATGGTCCAAATGATTAATTAAAAAGGAGACTCACATGCGAGGCTAAAGAAGCCCAGAGATCATTTGCCCACACAGAAGGTTAAAAGGAGGCTGAGGTCCAGGAGTCCCCTCACTGTCTCTCTCTTCCTCTTGGTTTCCCTCTCACTTATCCACTCTCTAGAAAATGATGAAGGACAACAACCTGGTACGCCACCTGGATGCCTGTGAGACCATGGGCAATGCCACAGCCATCTGCTCGGACAAAACGGGCACGCTGACCACCAACCGCATGACCGTGGTACAGGCCTATGTCGGTGATGTTCACTACAAGGAGATCCCTGATCCCAGCTCCATCAATGCCAAAACGTTGGAGCTGCTGGTCAACGCCATTGCCATCAACAGCGCCTACACCACCAAGATCCTCGTAAGTAGTCATGGGAGCATCCTCCATAGCAGGGCACCTGGGTCAGCTGCTGATTCTGAGCGGCTCACAAAAGAGGCAGCTCGGCTTGGCCTTCTACTAGTGTGGCCGCAATGTGTGTGAAACCAAAAGAAACTGTTGTTGTTGTCGTTGTCGTCGTTGTTCATTGATGATTGCTGTGACTTACATACTTATTTTTTAAATCCTGCCATTGACCCCTTCAACACACACACACACACACACACACTTTAAAAAACAAATAAGTAAACACCTTTTTTGAGACATGATTTCAGTACACAGCCCTGGCCCGAGACTCAAAACTCTGCCTGCCTCTGCCTCCTGAGTGCTAGGATCAAAGGTGTGTGCCACCACATCCAGCCATAATTGGTTAGCCTTTGCCACGTATCTAACTACTTCAAGTCAGAGCTTCAGACAGCTGTATAGAGTCTGCATTCTGTGCAACCAGACTCCAGGCTCCCATTGATTCAATCAGTGCTGGCTCTGAAGTATGAAGAGGACTCGGAAGATGGTGTAGGTGGAGCAATTGTCTTACATACGCACGGCCCTGAGTTCAAAACTCCAACACACTTTTTAAACGCCAGGTCTATGGGCCAGTGAGGCAGCTCACTGAGTTAAAGGAGCTTGCTGCCAAGCCCAACCAGCATGTTCACTCTCCAGTCCTCTTACAGCAAAAAGAGAGAACAGACTCCAAACATTATCCCCTGACCTCCACATGCAGGCCATGGCATACACAGGCGGGGTGCGGGTGAGCACACCTATAACCCCAGCACTGGGGTCCCTGGGGCTCAGTGGCCAGCAGCCTAGCCTGCTTATCAAGCTCCAGGACAGTGAGAGATGCCATCTCAAAAAGCATGGAGGAGGACTCCTGAGGAAAACACCTGGTGTCATCTGGCTGTCAGCATATGTGTGTGTATCTGCACATCTGCCTGCACACATGCCGTCACCCACGCACACCAATGCACAAACACAAAAATAAGTACATCAGAGCCTGGGCCCTGACAGCCTCCTTTCAAGCCAAGTTTGGTGACCTGTTCTCAGTAATCCAGCTAAAGACCAACTAAGAGAGAAAAGCAGAAAGTGGGGAGACTTATTCCCTGTAGGCACATCAGGAAGAGCAAAGAGATCTAGAAACTTCACCCCATGCTCATCTTCAGGGTCCTGACATGAGGTTCATATTTAAAGGGCAGAGGGTGTATAACTAAACAGCCCTGCGCTGAGTTGCATGGACATTGAAGATCTGCAGGCTTTATTTCTTGTCCTTACATCCTAACTGCAGAAAAATAGCCATTTCTTAGCATTTACCCTGTGCTGGGTCTCAGTCATCAAGAGAGGGATTGAAATGGGTTCCGCATGGGTTCTACTGTGCCATTTCATCTGTGCGCCGTGAGCATCTGTGGGTTTGGCAGGAGACCTTGACCCTGTGGGTAGACACTGAGCATCCAAGCTGAGCCTCATCCCACCTCTCTTGGCCTTCCTCATGGATGTGCTTATAATCTATGTTCTATGGGTGTGTGGAGAGGTATGGGAGAGAGGATATCTCAGCGGGCCCATGCTGAGACATCCCTTCCCCATGAGGGACCAGCCGCACGATGGTATAGTATAGAAAAGAGTTTATTCAGGGCATGGGGAGGGGAGTTAAGAGGGTAGAAGAGGTAGAGAGAAGGAGAGAGAGTAGAGAAGTAGAGGCTGGCCATGAGCACGTGGAGAGAGGAGGAAGGGAAGGGGGAAGGGGCAAGGGGAGAGAGGGGGAGCAAGAAGGCAAGAGAGCAGGAGATCAAGAGAGAGCAAGAGCGGGAGAAGGGGGCAAGCAGCCCCTTTTATAGTGGGCCAGGCCTACCTGGCTGTTGTCAGGTAACTGCAGGGAGGAGCATACCCGGCTATTGCCAGGTAACTATGAGGGTGGAGTTTAGACAGAATGCTAACACTCATGCCTCTCAGTTCAGGTGGACAGCTGTGCTGATAGGGACGGGTAGCACTAGGCCCAGGCTAATTTAGCTCTGCTCTACAGCTGTTGCCTCCCCTGCTGGGTTAGTCAGGTCTAGTCAGAATGGCAGCAGGGAACTGAAACTCCAGAGAGCCTGGCTAGGATCTGCCGCTATGGTATTTGTCATATTGGGTTGGTCAGTGTATGTGCATCAGGAGATTAGTCTGAATGGGGTGGTCAATGCCGCTCTCATAGGGAAGTGCTAGGGAAAGCCTGGGTTCAGAGAGAGGAATCAGGGTGATCATTTCACAAGGGTGCCTCTCAGAGGATGCTGTCATTCCTGGTTACAGAAACATCCCCCCTGCACCACCACCCCCATGAGAAGTAACTCCCTGTCTCAGCTAACTGGCCTGTGCTGAGATCCCTGCTTGGTTGAGAAGCACTGGTGGCCTCTTGGTAGTTAACAAGACTTCTCTCATGCAGATGTTCTCTGTTGCCCAGCTGTAGGGTGTTTCTGTGCAGCTGAGAAACCCTTCAAATGCACTGGAAACCTGACCTCCCCTCCTGTCCCAGAGGGGTGCATCAGCGTGACTCAGTAGGAGCCACCAGAAGTGCTTTGTTATTGAGGAGCCTGAGAGTCAGCAGCAGTGGGCCGGAGCAGGTGAAGGAAGGAGGAGGCAGCTTCTGCACTCCCACCAGCCGAGCAGCCATCCCTGCCATGCTGGGACTGCAGGCTAAGGGAAGCAAAGTGACAAGGGGGGGGGGGGGAAGTAGGTCGGAGGGCATGTGTAATGGAACACCGAGGGGGAAAGGATACCAAAAATGACAACATCCATATCTCCTTTTCCCCAATTCGGAAGCAAGGGAGATTAGTGAAGCTTTATTTCTTTCCCAGAGCTTTCCAAAACTAAGGCGACACTGCTTATGATTTTGTCCTGTATATTTGGCAGAGAGGAGCAGGAAGTCCCAGAGCAGGGTGGTGGAGGGTGGCCATGCGGGCACAGCCCCATGGAGTGGGCTTGGAATGAGATCCCTGTGTGTCCTTTATAGTCAGGAGTGTTGGGGATCTGTCTAGAGGACTGCAGGGAAGCCTCTGGCTACAGTGGTGAATCTCCGTGGAGCAGTAATTTAGAGGTTGGTAGGGAACTCGGGTGGTGTCATTAGATAAGATGGGCTGTAGCTGTGTGTAGGTGGCATCAAGGTCGGAAGTCACCAGTCTGCCCAGGGTGAAGGTGCAGCTGCCAAGGCTGGGGAAGAAGCCATGTTAACTAGAGGGTCAGAGTCTACATACTGGCAGGCCAGGTTTGCCCCGTCATCCTCAGGAGTCCAGTCAAAGACAAACTTAGTAGAGGAAAGCAGGAGAGGAGACGTTCGTCCAATGTGGCCATATTGAGAAGCGAAGAAAAAGGAGGCCCGGTCCTACCCCAAGCCCTGACATGAGGTTTGTTTAATAGAAGGCAAAGGGTAGTATTCATAGTTAGATAGCCCTGGTCAGGGAGTCATCCCCCCCACCACTCCCATCAGAGATCCATCATTGTCTGGGCTCCAGCCTTTCATGCAAGGGTCTGACAAGTCAGAACTGTGTGCGATCTTTTTCAGAAAACAACTCCCGCACCCCCTGGCTAGCATCGGGCTTCGGCCTTTTTCTTCTCATAGTCTAAGAATCCTGGAGAAATTTCCAGTTTCTTCACATGTGTCATAGTTTGATAAGCCAAAGGGAGGGGCACATGTGTCCCTATAGAACAATGGTTCTCAACCTATGGGTCATGACACCTTTGGGGATTGAAGGACAGATATCCTGAATATCAGATATTTGCATTACAATTGATAACAGTAGCAAAATTGCAATTATGAAATAATAATGAAAATACTTTTATGGTTGGGAGTCACCACAACATGAGGAACTGTATAAAAGGAGACAGCATTAGGAAAGTTGGAGACCACTGCTTTGGAATATCTTCATTCTCACCAGAACCCAGGACCTGGGGTACTAGATTTGTAACACAACTCAGGAGGTCATTTACCTCTTGGGCATCAGGTTCCCTTGCTGTGTCACAAAGTTTGGCACCCAAGGACCCCTGTGCCTATCTTTCTGGGTCTTTCCAAAACAATGCTCTCTGTCCGTACAGTCTCTCTTTGCCATGGCCTAACATCCATTATCATTGGAGCTAATGGTATACGTGGGTAGTGGTTAAGATGCCTATTCTGGCCTGGCTTCAAACCCCTCTCTAACGGTGTGAATGAAGAAAGTTCTTCAATTTCTCTACTCCTCAGTGTCTCAGGGGGAAAGATTGGATTGTGGGAGGCAGCGAGTTTGTGAGTGGCAGGTGCCAGCTCAAGACCTGGCATGCAATAGAACTGCTGTCAGGATTCATCAGTGAGTCACCTCACTAAGAGCACTCCACAGAGCACTCCATTGGTAATAAAGCAGAGGCTGAGAAACAATCAGACACTGGGCATTGCTCTGGTCACCAAGGGATCTTTCCCAAACCCTGACAGGCAGCTAGAGGCAAAACCAGGCCTTAAAGATACCTGCTCCATCAGAAGGCCCATATTAGAAGCTCCAACCAACATACCCCACCCCCTGTGCTGGGCTCGGAAACGGCCTGGAGTTCAGAGGGTCAGCTTCACACCTAGGCCCTTCCATCCACATAAGGCTAAGGGTATCTTGGGAGTTCCTTTCCTGGTCCGGGTGAACCCCAAGAAGAGATAAAAGTCCATTGTCTTCACTGGTTTCCATTGCTGTGATAAAACACTATGACCAGAGGCAACTTGGGAAGGAAAGGGTTTATTCAGCTTACTTCCTGGTAACAGCCCACCACTGAAGGAAGTCAAGGCAGAAACTGATGCAGAGGCCATGGAGGGGTACTGCTCACTGGCTTGCTCACTCCTGGCTTGCTCATCCTGCTTTCTAATAGAACCCAGGACCACCAGCTCCTACCATGTGCTGGCCCTCCCCACATTAATCATTAAGAAAATGAACTACTCCGAGCAGTGGTGGCACACGCCTTTAATCCCAGCACTTGGGAGGCAGAGGCAGGCGGATTTCTGAGTTCGA